TGGCAGGGGGTCCAACTTATACTATTTGCTGGTTGTCCCTGGTATAAACAACTCCACTAGGACCAGTCAAGCAAGACTATGACAATATCACTAAACACAAAACTAGGTAAAAAGAGATATGCACAATTTCTGTTCCAAGTTTCAGTAGCCAATTAGCACAGCCCTGAAAAGATAAGGAGTATTTCACCAAACTGTTCTTTCAAGTATGTGTCTGTGTCTGTCTGTCTGTCTGTCTGTGTGTGTGTGTGTGTGTAGTGTGTGTGTGTGTACGCGCGCAGAAGCAAGATATTCAATATTTTATCCCCTGGAGTATAGTGAAAACAGTTTAATAAATGCTCAGCATAACAATCTCCAGTATCCTTCATGTATACAAAACAATAAATCTTATTCTTAGTTACATGGTCTCTTCATCGCAATTCATAGCTCTCTTCAAAAAGGAAAATAACAGACACCTATTGATATCACTGTAAGACAAATGAGTTATGGGAAGTAGGCGTGTGGTTTAGAAATTATCAGCTAAGGTCAAGGTTCTCTGCCTTTGTTCAGATCCATATGCCTGAAGGACATAATACACTAACACGGTACTACTACTAACACCAATGACTCCCTTTGCCAAGTGTCCTATATTATGAAAAACAAAAATGATTCTGGTACTGGTATCAATGCCCCCAACCACTTGAGAAGCTTACAGAGAAAAACCAGTGCAGAAAAAAAAAAATTCATTCCTAATTTTCCCCAAATTTTCAACACAAGCTCACATCTTCCAATGGGACTTCTATTACTAAGATCCTCTATTAGAATTAGCATTTTACTTAATTTACTCTTAAAGACATGTAGTACTTGTTGAGCTTAAAACAAGCAAACGAAATCATAATTCACAAACTACTGTTTAGACTTCATACTCTGAGAAAAGCAAGTTTTGTTGAAATACTTTTCTGACTTTTTACTTAAGCTTACTAAACTGGATAAAGAGCAAAGAAGTTTCCTAAATGTATTTTTGGCTGTACTATGTCTATCACAACAACACTGCCAGTAGCCAGATTTTTCATGAGTATTTATAAAAAGTGTGTTTTCTATTTTTAAGACTATTTATAAAATAAGAAGGCTCAAAGTTTCAAGCACATTAATAATCTTAGCCCAAATCTAACTATAAATGAACAAAAAATATGCCTACAGGTTTCCTAGGAAAATCCCCCAACACTATATTTTAAAAATCCAAAGATAATCAAAAATGAGTCAGTGTGAGCATGAACTTGCTATATTCAAACAATTGTGACATTTTGTTGGCTGAATAAGAATATGAAAGTAAATAAAATACAAAAAAAGAAAATGTTGAGACATAAGTCTGCTTAACTCTATTAACTGTTATTTACTAAGATCCACTAATGTCCAAATACTTACACCCAATTCAAATATTAGTTCCAGAGTCAAAACTAAGCAGTCAAGTCAAAAAAATTAGTATATCAGGCTGGAGAGATGGCTCAGCAGTTCAGAACACTTGTTGTCCTTGCAGAGAATCCAGGTTTGATTCCCAACACCCATGTGGTAGTTCACAACCATCCTTAACTACAATTCCCTCTTCTGAACTCCAAGGGCACCAGGCACACATGTGGTGCACAGACAGACATGTGAGCAAAACACTCATACATATAAATAAATCTTTTTAAATAAAATTTTAATGAGAATGTCTTCATTACTCAGGTTCAACTGTTTTTCCTGTTTCCATTTGTTGTGGCAAATGACTATAAGATTATCTATGGAGAAATCCCTGGGTTGGCCAGGCAGTGGTGAAATCCTAGGACTCAAACCCAGACTAGGTTACATAGTAAACTGGGGCCTGCAATGGATTATACAGCAAGACCCTGTCTCAAAATATATATATTATATATATATATATATATATATATATATATATATATATATATGGAAAAAAAGTCCTATCTTCAGTCTTTGGCTGACAATCATCCTCAAACTCCAAGGCTGATTCATTTATATGAGATAAGAAGTTACACTTTGGGTCTGGTTAATCTCAATGTCTGATGTTTTTCTTGTTTTGGTTTGGTTTTGGCAGTGTATTTTATAGTAAAGTTTAAAATAATGTTTAAAAGATGTTATAAACATGCAAAAACTGATTGAAACTTGTAAAATAAGGATGACGGGCTCTCTGTTTTGGGACTCCCAAAGGCTACAGTATTGACTTCAATCTCCTAACATCCTCATCGCCATACCACTTAAAGAATGGTGGCTGAGGACTAGAAAGTTGGCTCAACAGTTAAGAGCACATGTTGCTCTTACAGAGGTCCCAGCACCTACAGGGTACACACACACACACACACACACACACACACACACACACACACACACACACACACAGTGTACATACTTGCAGGCAAAGCACTCATACAAAGAAGAAAAGAAAGAAAAAGAAAGAAGGAAGGAGAAGGAGGAGGGAAGAAATCTCAAAAGAATTTTCAAAAAGAAAATGGTAGGCTGAAGTCCCAGTTCTACACCTCCTGCACAAGAGATTTTTGATACCTAACTGCTCCTTTCTTCAAAGTCAGTATCTAGAAGGCTGTTAATCTCTCCCCCATAATATTTGTACTTGGAACAACAGAATTTCCTCTTTTCACTACTCCCCCAGTCTTAGGGTTTTCAGCTTCACTACAGTATTTGAGAATTCAAACAAATACATAGCAAATCAAGTTTCCGGGAAGGCAAAGAAAAGAGTTTCCAGAAGTAACAAATTCAGAACTGATGAGCTGGGAGAAATGAAAACTCTTGTTTCTCAAGCTTAATAATATTTTGTCAGTCAAAGATAAATACAGCTGGGCTTGGTGGTCCATGTCCATAATCCCAACACTTAGGAAGCTGAGAGAGAAGGAGTGCTATGAGTTTAGTTAAGGTCAGTGTGGGCTACATAGTGAGTTTCAGGCCAGTCAGAGCTACCATATAAGACTGTCTCAAAAAATAAGTAAATAAGGCTGGAGAGACAGCTCAGCAGTTTAAGAGCACTAGCTGATCCTCCAGAGGACCTGCATTCAATTCTAGGACCCACATGGTGCTAACAATGGTCTGTAACTCCAGTTCCAGGGAATCTGATGCCCTCTTCTGGCCTCCTCTGGCACCTGGCACAGAAGGGGTGCACCGACATACATGGAGACAAAACACTCATACACATAAAATTAAATAATAAATAAATAAACCAACAAAAACTGCCTAGCCTCTCAAATAATAAAAAAAAAGTTATAAATCATGAAGCAATGATCAAACAACCAAAAATTCTCAGAACAGCACAAGCATCATATACAGAACTTTTCATGAAATGTTTAAAAAGAGAAGGAAAGAAAGTTCACAGGTCTACAGTCCTATCTTTTGCACTTGGTTTGTATTGTTTACTATGCCCCTCAAGAGCTCAACAGTACTGGAACTTACCACCTTGTTTGCAGCTTCCCAGGGCACAAATTAAGCTGCGCAATATCTCACAGATAAGCCATGCACAACTACATCTATTTTCTCCCCCAGATGATTTAGTAATATTAGAGTACATCTTGGACTAATTTAGTATGGGCATCAATCTAACTCAAAGTCTTAGCTAGCTTCCCAAGCAGTACAGTTTTGTAATAATGTGTACATTGCATTCATCTAGCCTTTCTTCTTTGCAGCCTCAGTGTCAGTTTCATATAGAGCACTCAACCAAGACAATTAATCACAAGCCAATTTCCCTTTCTTAGCAGCTTGTGAACTAATATTTTCCACGAGCAAAATCCACTTCCAATTTAACCACAAACTTCATGCCTGGATCTTCTGATCCTAACTACTGGCTATTCTACAAAAGTGCAGCACATGTCAAATGTAAACACTACTAGCAGAAAAGTCTAAAGGTTTTCTCATGAAATTGTGTTCTCTGAATTGTAACAATCAACTATCTACCTCTTCTCATACACAAGAAAATTCAAATGCATTAAAATTATCTAAATCTTCCAGTGACAAAAATGCAGGCTTGACTTTGAAAACAGTTTTCAAACAGCACTAAACATGTCAATCAAATCCTTACCATCAACGAAAGGTTGGCGATTCATTTTATTTGCATAATACCATCAATTCTGAAAAAGGATCGGCTAAATTTGAGTCTTTTTCTGGTATAACGAACTCTGAAAAGTCCAAAGGGAATACACAAGCACCTGAAGGAAACTGTCTTGAGATCAGAAACGAACTCTTGTCAGTTCAGCCCCCTTGCTCCATGGCCACCACCCCTGATGGCCAGTGGCCCCTTTCCACACGCTGACGCACTGCCCAGCCTTGTACCGTTGGCGATCAGAGCAAAGTACTAAGCCAGTCTCAGAAACTTTGACTCAGTTATCAAGACACGGAGCACCTACAACATGCGCGGGGGTGTGGATGGGTGTCTGTCACGGCCCACCCGGTCAACTTTGAAGCAGGGCATTTCTTGCAGGTAGAGATCTGCCCAAAAAACAGTCTATCCCAGACAGTAAAACCACAAGCATCGCCAGCAGGAACGGAGCAAAGTGCGCGGGGCGGAGGAAGGGGAAGGACACGGGATCCAACAGACGCTTTCAAGTAGGTAAGAAAATAACCCTGTCCACACGCCCCCCGACTCGGGGTTGCTGGGACCGAGAACTCGGCAGCAGCCTCATCCCGGCAGCCGGCGGCGGGGGCGGCGGCAATGTCAGGAGGGCACAGTGGGAGGCGGCGGCCGCCGGAGCCACCACCCCGCCCCAGGTGAGGGGCGCCAACCCCGCCTCCCGCCCGGCGGCCCCGCCGCGACGAGCAGCCACCCGGAGAACCCGGGTGTCCCGGAGGCGGCCGACGGCGCTGAGCCAGCCGGATGCCTTCCCCCCTGGTCCCCCAGCATCCCGGTCCAGGGCCGGGCCTCGCACCCGGACCCTCTCTAGACCAGCCCGGAACCCCCAGACCCACCGGACCGCGGCTCCCCGCCGTCAGGCCGCCCTCGGGCCCCTCGAAGGCCGCCTTCGCCTCACCTCACGTCTCCGCGGCCGCTGCCGGAACAACAACTCTGTCAGGCGTCCGAGTCCCACCCGCCGCCCAGAGCTCTGCGGTCGGGCGGGCCCGTCCCGTTCACTCCGCCGCCGCCGCTGCCGAAGCCCAGGGAGGGCGGAGGGAGCGGGGCGGAGGGAGCGGGCTGAGGAGGGGAGAGGACCGCCCGGCAGGAAGAGGCGAGGGAGGGGGCGGACTGAGGAGGAGGCGGCC